CCTTTATTGGCTCCACTGGGTCAACAATAGCTGCTTCTTTGGATTCCTCATCGATCAGTAGGTACATGTAGTTGTCACTGAGAGCTGGGAGAAGTTCGACCCTCATGTTGGCTTGTTGGACCAGGTGAGACTTCCTCACTGAGCTTTGAAGGAGGCGGACTGTCCGGGTCTTCACTTCCACAGSTGCTTTATTATTATTATCAAGAATGGAATGAAGTAAACATTTAACAGAGCAGTCTGGGTGARAAATACGTTCCTCATTAAGCTTGAACTCTTTTAATTTACAAGCATGACGTCATACACACCAGGAAGCAACTCACTATCGATGGAAAAAAAGACACTAATAAAAGTAAACARCGTTTTTCTTAACGCTTCATCGTCATTTTTTTTATTTAGCAGATTAAATAATATATATATATATACAAGTGTCCCTGCAAACCTATAAGCTACAGTTATCGAACAGGCCAGCTGGGCTCTTTTCTCATTCCTCACCTAAATAAAAATCGACACAAAATTGTCGGTCAAATGAGGTAACAGGCTAACACGATGCTACATATGTTAGCATGCTAAAAACCTGTGCTGACGTACCCGACTTTAACGCTGTAGCAGCTCCTCTCAGAGTGCGGCCACTTCCTACAAGTAGCTGCAATAACATCACAGTAACTATCTACAGTCTTATCGGGTTATTATAAACCAGAAAAGTTGAGCTCTACTTCAGTTCCGCCACCGCCCCCTTTKCTTGTCAACATTGACCCAACAGGTCAGGCCTGACGAATCGATCACAGAGGAGCAGAAAGCGATGTAGAATAWTTTGATTGTTCTAGTATAAAAAGTGACATTTGTGCCATAAATACGTATTTTTAGAAAATATGAAATTTGCTATAATAGATATTTAGGTTTTATACATTTAGAAAAACTGTGAAACAAAAAGTTTGACTTAAAGTTGTATGTCCCTTCTGGCTTGCCGTAGGTAAATAATTCAATTTTGTTCCCTTTCACGGTCAAAGTGTAGTCAAACTGGCAGAAACTGCTTCGTATCAGCTTGAACCAAGTTAAAACTTTAATAGTTTTGTTGTATTTGTAATGACAGCGCGAAATATATCTCGGTTCTGGGAGTGGGGGAGGAAGATTATTTGTGTTGGGAGAAACTATGCAGACCACGCCAAGGAGCTGAAAAATGCCATTCCTACAGAGCCCGTGTTGTTCCTCAAGCCCCCCTCTGCGTACGTCAGGGAGGGCTYCCCCATCCTGGTGCCCCTGTACACCAGCAACCTGCACCACGAGGTGGAGTTAGGGGTGGTCATCGGGAAAGGGGGCACAGCCATCCCGCAGTCCAGCGCYATGGAGCACGTTGCGGGCTACGCTCTGTGCCTGGACATGACCGCCCGGGACATCCAGGACGAGTGCAAGTCCAAAGGTCTGCCTTGGACCCTGGCCAAAGCCTTCAACACGTCCTGCCCCGTCAGCGACTTCATCCCCAAAGAGCGCATCCCGGACCCGGCCAACGTCCRGCTGTGGCTGAAGGTGAACGAGCAGCTGCGGCAGAGCGGCTGCACCTCGCAGATGATTTTCTCCATCCCCTTCTTGATCAGCTACATCAGCGACTTCATCAGCCTGGAGGAGGGGGACCTCATCCTGACCGGGACCCCTAAAGGGGTCTCTGCCGTGCAGGAGCACGATGAACTGCAGGCTGGGATCCAGGACGTGATTACCATGAGTTTCAGAGTGGGCAGACAGGACCACTGAAGACAGAGACACTGAGACATCAGCAGATGGCAGTGCTGTCTTTCTCCTGCCTTCTTTGGCTTTTGATCCAGATTACACTTTGCTCAGGTGCAAACTGGTTCACTCTGACTTTTACTCACTGAAATAGGCTTAAGTTTTCTTATAAATTCTCACTGTTTTAATTAGAAGTGATGAAGGATGTATTCAAAACAACTTTAAATCAGTGTATAAGTGTAAAAAATGGCATGTGATGGACTACTTTATTAACTAAATAAATAAAATAAAAGGCTAAAACGTGTCAGTGTGAACGCTGAGAGCTTGAATAACTGCAGAAATTTGCAGAAGCTGAAATTGATCCGAACAAAAAGTTGAAATAATCATAAAATGAAAAGAATAGATAAAGTTAAAATGGAAAAAAAAAACATTTGCAAAAAGCCTAAACCAGGGCTATTCAATTGGCGGCCCGCGGGCCACATCCGGCCCGCGAGTGACCAAAGTTCGGCCCGTCAATTGGTTCGTTCATCTCTTAAGCCCAAACCCCCGGTTAATTACTCTAAGTTCTTTTAGTTAAACATAGACATGTTTGGTGTCTACAGAAACGTCAGAATCTTGGCTAGAAGCTGGTAAAAACCATTTCTAAAAACACTCAAGACAGTTAAAACTACAAAAAGCTGAAGATAAAATGATGAAAGTGAAAATAAAATTGGTTTAAAATTTTGGCAAGTCAGATGTCAAAATAATATTTGTGTCTAATAATAGGAGGCAAAATGTGTTCTTTTTGTTTTTGATATTGTTTAATTATCACTACTTTTAAAGGGTTCTGTATGTTGTATTCATGATTAAATGCAGCAAAATAAACTAATTCAAAGGTAACAGATCTTTGAACTACTTGGTTTATTTACATAATAACTTTAACTGCTGAATGTTCGGCCCCTGAGCTGTTGACCTGCAGTAACTGTGGTCCCTGGAGCAATTTGGTTGAATATCCCTGGCCTAAACTAACAGAATAGTATCTAAAAGCTAAATTGTTGAACAAAACAGTAGCTACAAACAATGAGCAAAATGCTCAAATTAGCAAAACGTTAACTGAATGTTAAACCAGCAGAACTGATAAAAGCCAAATTGAAGAAAGCAATAACTAACACTTAAAAAATGAGCCGAACAATAGCTAAACCCTCARCAAAATGTAGTATATGCAAGTTTCCTTTAAATTTACTGGTTTAAAAATAAAAGAGTATACTTTTATGTACTTATCTTACACTACTTGGCTTTTACTAAAAGTGTAAAAATATACTGCTCAAAAAATAAAGGGAACACTTAAACAACGCACACTAACTCCCGATCTTAATCAATGAAATATTTGCAATGAGTACTTTGTTCTGTACARAGTTGAATGTGCTTCACAAAATTTTGATTTACTTGGACTTAGCATGCGTTAAGTGTTCCCTTTATTTTTTGAGCAGTGTACTTAGTTTATACTAATGTTTACACTTTTGGCCAAAATTTAGTAATACACTGAAAGTACATTTTTACACAGACTGGTTTATTTGTAGTGTATTTCAAGATTAAACTAAAAGTATGCTTAGAAGATTACTTTCAGTATAGTGAGTAAACTTGTTGTGGGCCAATTTAGTCCTTGAAGTATACTTGTTAGTAAACTGCTAGTATACTTACTGTATATAAGTGTGCATGGTAAATAAAAATACACTTAGGGATTTACACTTTTACATACTTTAGTATACTTAATGACGTACTGAAAGTATACTTATTCTTTGGTAAGTTTATAAACGTTATATCTAAAGTTTTTATGAACAAAAAAATGTCCCAATTTAGTACGAATGAGAATTAAATCAGTATACTTTCTAGTACACTACAAGTACATGGTGCCTAGTATACTTGAAATACTGAAACTGAATGAACTTCAAGTACACTACCTTTGGCTAATGGWAGGCTAAAATTAAAAAAACACGACTAAAATGTCAAATTAGTAAAACTGTACCTAAAAATTAAAATCAACTAAATGGTAACTATTTCTAAAWTTAGCTGAGTCATAAATCAAACCTAAAATTGTAGTTAAAAGCTAAAATTAGCAAGATCAGAACTAAAAGTCACAACCTAAAACTATGGAGTAAAGCTAAATGGAGCATTAGACTACTGCTGAAGTAGTTTTCATAGAATGAAGGAACAGAAGAGATCTTAATATTTCTATTTGAAATTTTTTGCAAATAAAAAGTATTTTCAGATGTTGTAAATACAGTGGTAAATGTCAAAGTACTAAGCCTGACTGAGCTGAACATTTTGATGCTTGAATGGTTAAAACAGCCCTGTGATGGGCCTGCGACCTGTCCAGGGTGTCCCCCTCCCCTCGCACCGTGACTGCTGGATACACGTGACCCTACAAGGAAAAAGTGGATGGATGGATGGATGGATGGATGGATGGATGGATGGATGGATGGATGGATGTTTAAAACAATATGGTTACAACTCAGCATTCACTTTTTTTTGGTTTGGGATTTTTATTTTCTGTAAAAATCAGTATTATTGTGTTTTGTTGCAACAGTTTAACTTCTGCAATTTGTGTAATGTACACGAGACCAAACATCTGTTACTGAAACTTTTAATTTGAAGTCGGCAGCACAAATTAAAAAAAAAATTAATTTGGGGTCATGTTTTCCACCTCTTCTCTTCAGTTCGTTTGTTTCAGCTGATGTTGTTCTAAATCTTTTCTGATGGTTTTGCTTCATCCAATAATTCAGAGTTCCTTCGTGGATGTTGAAGTGGGAGCTGTCGGCAGCCGTTTCCTCTCTGTTTTAGCCTGGAGGACTCGACGTCTACAGTTTCTGAGAAGAATTTCAGATTTTGATTTGTCAGACCACAGGGCAACTTTCCACCTCATCAGTTCATCTTGACTGAGCCCCCAAAAAATGTGGATCTAATTGAAATAATTATTAAATTTTAACTTGCAGACTTTTTGTCTTGAATTGTGTTTGCTTACAATATTTGATATCAGAYGTTTTCAGGATTTTCAGGACCAAAATGTCAGGTTTGAACTTATCTTTTTGAATCCTTGACGTGTTGTCACGTGCAGCTTTACCCTTGAGCCATATTAGTTTCAGATTGTTTAACACAATAATAAGAAGAAAATAATGAATATAACTGTAGATTCAAAGCATTGCCTAATTCTAGAGATTTGAGGAATGTACTTTTTATGGTGTTTATTTTAGACTAATAACGTGGAAGCTGTAAGAAATTGGAGACAACTAAAAAYTTTTGCACGGTATTAAATGTACTTTTAATGATAACCACATAACACCAGGGACACGGTGGCTTGAAGCAGTCAGAATTTGTGATGGATCTTTCAGAAACTTTAAAGATGATGAATACAAATAGAGAAAAGATCCGTATTATTGATGGAGGCGCTCACAACTGCTTTCTGAGGTTTTAGACTCAAGATGGGAAAATATATTTTTGCTGGATTAGCAGCTGGATGAGGTCCAACTCAGATACTCAAACTAAGCTGATTATTTTTGATTGGTTTTAGCTGGTATTTTGCTGCTTTGAGCAAATCTTTTGCTATTTCTTTTATTATTTTGGATGGCTTTTTGCTACTTTAAGCTTCAACTATTTTCTTTTTCTGTTTGTTTTTTGTTGCTGTTTATTGTATTTTGTTACATTTAGCTTACTGCCACTTTGAACTTTTAAGAAGCCGTAGCCTTTTGCCTCTATTTAACAAGACTTTAAATTATTTTAGCTACCGTTGTTCCTTTTTTAGCTTTTTGCTGGCCTTTTGCAGTGTTTTTTGCAGCTGCCATTGTGCTCCTTTAAGCTTATAGCTACTTTTAGTTTGAGTAACTCAGTTTCAGCTTCTTAAACAAACTTTTCCCATTGCATTTATTAATTTTTTATTGAATATTTCCTTTTAGTTTGTCAAATTTTCTTTCTCAGACTCCACATGTATACCATCTTTTTTGCATTTGTAGTCGTGATTTGTTTGAACTTTTCCTCCTCYCCTGGTTCACTTGTAATTCTCCCACAGGATTCTCTGTTTTCAACATCAAACAGGAGCTCTGTCGGCCTGCGGCAGCTGTAACCTGAGTGGACCTCACCTGTAGGGCAGGTTGTCTTCTAAACTCACAAACTCGGGGGACTCAGAGGTTAGATGTGTCCATCACAGTTTGTTACCACAAATGAAGTTAAATCTGAGGTCTGAGAAAAGTTTGTTTTACTGTGGGGCAGCGTCGGAGCAGATGTGATGTATGATCTCAGCAGGTGTCGCCTCTAAGAGACACCATGTTCCTGTCCTTTGTTGGACTGAATGGATTTCACTCTCACAGCTGTAACAATGGCTTCAAAGCTCAGTCTCAGCTCTGATTTAACGTTCACCACATTAACCGACCTGCTGTCATCAGCCGGGAGCCTGAGAAGTTACACTTGATGCTTCTGAGGGGAGGAGGGGGGATTAAACAGAGACCACAGGCTTCCGATCCAATGTACACTAAAAGTGATGTCAGTCGTGTCGTGAAATCGAGCCAGGCAGGAACTGAGCCAAAGCTTTAAGGGTAACTCTTGTAAGAACTGTTCATTATACATTTTCACACACACACACACACACACACACACACACACACACACACACACAC